CATGGCAGAGGCAGGGAGGGGAGAGGACCTCAGGAGATGGTTTCAGGAGCCAGAAGCGAGGGGGACGTCCTGCTTGGACATTTCAGAATCTCAACCCCAGGTGCTGTACATAGAAAGCAGAGAAGCATGTCAGCTGTGGTAACTTTTCCTCCCACTCTCTCCCACCTTCCCCACAAGGACCATCCAGTCTGTGGTGCAGGAGACTCAGGCTCAGCACAGGTGAGCTCCAGTCCTTTGTGCAGACAGTTTGGACCTGGGTTATCTCAGTGGTGACAGCCCTGACTCCAGGTCTGTGCAGATGCAGCAAAACCTAAATCATGTCCTCAGTGCTGTCCAAGGACAGCAAATGCTTCTCTCTTTGGTGACTGGGTGAGTGCTCTGCAAACCTGAATGAGCTTCCTGGCACTGGAGGAGAGTGGGGAGGCACTGGCTGACCTGGGCTCCTGCAACCCCAGTCAGAACAGGTCCCTTTCTTCCTCTGGGCTCTGCCTTGGAGTATGTAGAGCACTGAGCCATTAACTAGCCATGGGCACTCAATCAATTTGTGCCATGACAGTACCTTTTGTAATTATAAAACTTACTTTTTGCAGCAAAAGAAAAACCTTGAACATTTTCCCTGGATGCCAAAGGGGAAAGAGCACTTCAGAAACCCACAGTAGCCGTTTTCTCGCTTGCATTCTTCCTTATTTCCTGGGACCAGGGAGGATCCTGCACAGTGAGAGGTTGAATAAAATGAGTGTGGCATAACTGTAAAAAATGTGTCTTGTTCCAGAGCAGCTGGCACTGGCTTTGCATCTCAGTCTCCTATGGGTATTTAGCACCAATCCAAACATCTTTACCTCTCCAGTCAGGCTTTATTTTTTTCTGCAGCAACATGTGTGCACATGGGGAAACACAGGGAAAGACCAGTATGAACTACAGGAAGAGCTGTGCTGGGTCCTCATTTGCCCAACTCTTCGTAAGAGACAATCCCTCCCAAATATTATGCATATCTGAGAAATCTGGTTGCTTCTCAGGAACTGGAAAACCCCACAGATGGGGGCTCACACCTCACCCATCTCCCCTCTGTCCCTCTCACCTGCAGCACTGTGGACCAACAGGAGGATGAAGGGGAGAAGCAGGTACAGCATCCGCATGGCTGGTGCCTGCCCTGGGTCTTCACGGGGCTGCAGAGAGAACACACCAAGAACCAAACCAGGGTCAAGAATTTAGGGCAATCCTTGTACCAGGAGATGCCACGCTAAAGTCTCACCCACTGCTGTCCAGTACCTCAGCCAGCCCAAAGCTGGCTGCCCCAAACATTCTACATGATCACCCCTGCTTTGCTGAGCTCAGGAAAGTATCTCCCAGTTCAGATTGGGAGTGCCCATCCCCAGCTCCTGACCATTCCCAAGATTCCCAGCAACGGCAGTCTCCTACTCGGTGCAGCAGTGAGCCAGGGAAGAGCATGAGGGCAGGGAAGGGTCTTGGTCTCCTGGAAGTGACTCCTCAGTCACCTACCTGATGAAGGAGTTGATTGAGAGCACACCAAGGCAGCAAAGGGCTGTAACAATTTGACCTGGAGTCACTTCTACACAGAAGAGTCACAACTGAGGAGTATCACTTTGCCCAAAACACCCTGGTTTTACACCGTTGCCAGAGGGTGGGACATGCACTTCTTCCTGCTGCCACGTCTGCCCTTGGCCAACCAGGCAGTGCCCCATCAGTGTGGGGGTGCTGGGGCTGCCCCTCATCCCTCCCTGCTGCAGTGGGAGAGGCTGAGGGGCCTCCTGGGACTGTTGCAATGTCACCCTTATCCTCCTGCAACATGTCTTGTGACACCCCCTGCACAGCAGCACATGGGCTGGGGGGGCCTCCTGGAGAATCTTTGGGATGGGGACAGTAATCAGTTGGTGCAAACACAGCACCAGTCCAGTCTGAGATGAACTGAGTCCTTCTTTCATAGAATCATTCTGGAATGGTTTGGTTTGGGAGGGACCTTAAAGACCATCTCGTTCAACCCCCCTTGCCATGCCCCTTCCACTAGACCAGGTTGCTCCAAGCCCTGTCCAACCCGGCCTGGGGATTGGGGCAGCCACAGCTTCTCTGGGTAACCTGTGCCAGGGCCTCACTGCCCTCACGGGGAGCAGAAACATTTCCTTAGTGATGTGGTGTGCTGTGGTAAGTAGTCAACTTAGGGGTGTCTTCCTAGAAACTGAGAGCTGGATTAAGTTACCCAGTGACACAGGATGGAAGCAAATGCCAAGAAACAGAAGCCTGGCATCTCTGCCAAGTGCTGCATACCCAATTGGAAGTTTGGAAATGGACAGGGTGGCCTCCTTGGACAGAGAAATCTCTACCAGTACAAGCAGAACCACATCTTATGAACACACATGTTCTTGGACACCCACACATATTTACCCACAGGGGGATCACAATCACAGAGGCATTTTGCAGAGAGGGTGAGGTCAGCCTTGGCAGGGAGCAACCACTCTAACCTCAGGTTGTGTCCAGGGGGTTGGAGAGGAGAAGACCCCCTGCTCACACCCTGCAGGGCAGCCCTTCTGATCCATGGGACCTCTTTGTGATATTCCCTTGATGGGGAGCTGGACAGCCACCCTGGGAAACCTGTTTCCCTGTGAGGTCCACAAAGATCTCATTGAGGTTGCCCATGGGATCATCTCAAGTTCTCTTGAGGACAAGGGAGTCCCTCCCTGCCATGTGGTGGGATGGGACATGGAGCAGCACAGCCCCCAGGAAGAACTGTTACAGTGGATCCCAGGGCCTCCAGGGTGGGGAGTGAGGGGTTTCAACTATTTATGTTTCCCAAGAAAAGGTTTCTGCACAGTAAGAAAAAAAGGATTTTGGCATCTGAACCCACAAAGGGTTCAGATGTTCTTCCCAAAAAGGGAAGCTCTGTTCTTCCAACCAGCCTAACTCTTGGCACTGTAGGTTAAGGTCTTCAGTCCATGTCTGTCTAGCCCTGGATACCTACATGATTCAGAAAAGGTCCAATTAAGGAGCTGTAGGCACTGTAAATTGTTGCCCTCTGGGGTTTGTGTGTCAAACCCAGGTAGGATCATGACCTCAGCCCATGCAGCAGACACCCTTGTTTCAGTGATATCAATGCAAAGCAACAACAATTTATTTAGAAGGAGGGGGAGCAATGCAGAATACATTTGGATTTACTCTATATCATAAAACTTTTTTCATTGGAAGTGAAAGGTATGTGAGGCTTTCCAGCAGGATCCAGTGGTTTTAGCAGTAAGGAGATTCCAAGTAAATTCCTGGATTTAGAAGAAATTTTCATTGCTCTTCAATGTTTGGTTCACTGAAGCGTTGTACATCCCACGGCCTGCACAAAGAAAAAAAAATATTCCGATTTTCTTTCTGTTTATAGTTCCTCCCTATTTACTCTCAATCCAAGTGTATTTTCCTCTTGAGTATAAGTGTTTTCCAAAACATATAATATCATGTGTAGTCATGCTGGGACAGCCCTGTGCACTCACACCTGTGAGTAAGAAATATTTCCCTATTGCCTCAGGAAAAGCAGGGAATTGATAGCAGAGTGAATGCCTTCGTTCCTGAGTGAAAATGGAAGGCTATTTTTCACATGATAATTTCTTTTTACAACAGTGTTGTGCTCTTTTTGCACACCCTTAAAGGCACTCAGGCACTTGTGGTCACAGCACAGGAACCCAGTTCTGGAAATACCAAATCCTGATATTTCACTCTGGCACAGGAGATGGAAAGGGATCAAACAGAGCTGAGACAACACAAGGTTGACCTCTCTGATGGTATTTTTTCCTTCTTGCTGGAGCAGAGCATGGTGCATATCTCAGGAGAAAGAGCACTGTGGAGCTCGACCTACCTGAGTTCATAGAATCATAGAACATCCTAAGCTGGAAGAGACCCACAAGGATCCTCAAGTCCAACTCCAGGCCCTCCACAGGACGCCCCAATAATCCCAACATGTCCCTGAGAGTTTTGTCCAAAAGCTTCTTGTACAACGTGCAACACTTGAGTCAACGTGTAACACTTGACTGTCCTCATGGCATAAGAGCTTTTTTTTCTCCTTTATATTTAATTTAAATTCTCAGTAACACCTTGGGATTTGGGACACAGAAATAATATTTGCCTGCTCACACTTCAGATGAGCCTTGGCGAACATGAAACTCACCATTTACAGCAGGAGCGGAACCCAAAGCAACTTCCATCTCTAACCAGATGGATGGGGCATCTTCCAAAGTGACAGGTCCCTTTTCTACACAGAAACATTTCCCTCCGGGGTGAAGACAAACCTGCAACCATAACAAAACATTTCCTGTCCTCTGGCTCTGCAGGGCAGGGCAATGCAGTTGAAGGATTTTCCATCCCTTGAGCTGCCTTTGCCACCAAGTTGCCATAAAGAAGCCCAGATTTGGTCATTTTGAAAGGCCATGTGAGAGGTGAGGTTACAAAGCAGGTCTACACCTTCCAGAGGTGGGATCCTCAGCTCACACTGCATCTAAGTGGATGACCCTAAAGTCCAGGTGGAGAATGAGACAAACTTCCTGACTCACTGTCAGGACCTTATGGGAAAGGGTCACCCAGAGGTTTTATTAATGGCTCCTTCCAGAAATAGTTGGCCAGACCTCATTTTCATCTGCTTTCTAAAGATCATGGCCACCACAGGCACCATCTCAGGTGTCCTAACACCAGAGCACTTCACACAATCATTTTAGGAAGACACTTAGAAGTGAAAAATCACTTTTCTTCAGAAGTTATAATTTCTCCGCCTTTGAAAAGGTTTTCAGCACTGAGTTGTTTGATTAATTCCTATTTGGATTCTAGTAATTTTAAACAGGAATTGTTAAAATGTGCTTGGGAATTTTACTTCAGGTGCACAAATACTCCTTTCTTGCATCTCTTTCCCATCTTACCTGGAGAAACCTGGAGTGTCAAGAAGAGGAGAGAAAAGAGCAGATAAAGGATCTTCATGACTGTGGATTGCCCCTGTGTAGGGAAAAGGACCAAGAAAGATGTTTGACAGACAGTCCCTGGGATCTGCAATCTCCTGAACTGCACAAATAATGTGTCAATAAAAATAGCAACTATGTGGTCTTTTTCTTCAAGCATTCAAAAATAACCAGTAAGACCCATATGACATCATGATTACTGTGTGGGGCAACACAATTGCTCACAATTCTTTCACATTTTGAAAACAGACCTTAGCCAGAAAAGAATCATAAACCCCCAGAATGGTTTGGGTTGGAAGGGACCTTAAAAATCACCTCATTCCAACACCCTGCCATGGGCAGGGACACCCTCCACTAGACCAGGTTGCTCCAAACCCATCCAACCTGACCTTGAACACTTCCAGGGTTGTAATCATAAATTTATTTTTAGTTAAATGTTTTATCTAGTAGATAAGCAACAGTAGGCAAAATGAGGTAATTATACAGGCAAAGTTATAAAGTTCAGAAAAAAAATAGTTGGTTTTGCAATGTCAAAATTTGTCAAGAAATAACAGCTGAAATAAATAATTTTTGTCACAATCTTCAGTCTTGGTCTACAGGCAGCAACTCTAGAATGGAAATGTACAACCAAATCAGTTCCCATTTGATAAATAAAATTTGAAAAGAAATCATGTGATGCTTTCATTGAAAGGGTTAATAGTTTAAAGCATTATCAGCAAACTAGGATAAGATGGCCAAAAAGGGACTGATGGATAAAGAAGTGGCTGTTAATGTTGTATATCTTGGCATTAGGGAATGTTCTCATCTGTCACAATTTATGTTCTCTTAAGTATGGAAGGGAATTGACATTGTGCTGAAATGTCATATTTCTGCAAACAGAATTTATAGAAGGTAGCCCCAAATTGTTTCAAAATTCATTAGAAAGTTTACACAAATTAGAAATTTACACGAATGTCTATATATTTGAAAATATCAGGAAAAACAAGGAGATAAAGTTAATAAAAATAAAATAAAGTTCCCAACATAGGCCTAGATTAAACATATAATATATATTATGTGTTATAGAATATAAATATCTATAATATGAAACTTATTATATATTATGTTAGTGTTAAATAATTATTTTTAATATATTTACTATTCAAATATTATGTATATTTAATGGAGAGAGATATATAGAGATAGATAGATTTCCATTGAAGAGGTCACCAAATTCTCTGGACCACAGACCTCGCTAAAGGAACCTGACCCAGCCAGGTGTTTTCCCTATGAATTAGTAAGCAGAATATTTTTATCAAAGTAATCTAGGTATTAGTACATGTTTGAACTACTTATTCAACCTGTCCAATTTTCAGAAAACTTATATTTACCTTTTTCATTAACATAGAAATTAAAGTTAGGAATGCAGAGGTTGGGGGTTTTATTTTGGGGTTGGATTGTTGCGGGAAAGACAAAAGTTTACATTGAAAAAAAAAGTTAAAAAGAACTGAGATGTTACCAGGTATCAGGTGAGCCCAGAAGCCAAAAAAGACCTGCTCTTGGTCCCTTCCCTCCAGAGGATTTTGGCTGTGGGACTGAGATCCTCTTTTATAAGATGTTTCCAAAAGGCACTGAAAACTGCTTTCTCTTCTCAGCTATACATTGAAC